TTAGATGACAAAATTGATATGACGTTTATCTGTCCAATAAATATGAAATTACAGTCAACATGTGGTTTGACCAGGCTCTGTACAAAGTAGGGGTGTGATGAGATCTCATGCCTTTAAATGTGTAAAATGTGATGGTATTTCTCAATGAGGCTAAACAGTTTTATTTATGGCTCCATTTCAACAGGAATTCAATAAACTTGATTTTTTTTTTTTTTTTGCTGAAGTGCATCCAAATGCTTTTCGTCCAAGATACATCTATGTTAAAGAGCTGAAGTGCAGTCAGCCAGTGTGTGCCTGCCCGTCTGTTTGACAGGGCGTAGCTCAGCTACACACACACATACGCGCGCACCTTCAGGGCACCAGGTCACAGAATTAAGTGTGGTTTTGGCTGCATTCACACAAAATCCTTTGAAGTACAGCTGTGTGGCGGTATAGCCATTGACTGTATGTAAAAGCTGGACAAACCCACCATGACGTCACTCGTTGGTTTTCTGAAAAGCAGTTTTGAAGTTTGGTCGTCATCCCACCAAAGGAGCCAGAATGGTGGCCACGTGCTTGGCTATGAGCCCCACTCAGACCCATTGTCAGCAGCATCAACTCTGTGACTTACAACATAGCCAAGCACGTGGCCACCATTCTGGCTCCCTTGGTGGGAAACACACAACAGCACATAATAAACTCTCAGTATTTCACTAAGAAAGTCAGACAACTGCAGCTGGACCAGGATGAGACCATGGTCTCATGATGTCACATCATGGTATAAAAAAGAAAAACGCAGAAAAAAAATTAACTGGACTTGGTTTTAGGCTGAAGATGTTTCACCTCTCATCCAAGAGGCTTCATTAGTTCGGCCTGACTGGCGTTGAGCCAGAGATATTTATCCCCATTGGTGGTGTTTCAGTCCTTTGGTGGCCAGCAATATCCCCTAACCAAGTCCAGTTGATTTTTTTTCTACTTTTTTTTTCAGTTTACTATGACCTGGATGACCGAGAATCTGCACAGACATGTTGCTAATCCTTGTTCATGTGCTTCCCCACCACAGAGGCAGTTAAGGCAGTGAGGAAGAGACTGCTGAAGGATGACATGCTGAACAACAGGACTAACCTCACCCCAGACCAAGTATTCACCCTTCTGGAACTTTGTTTAAACACAACCTACTTCCAGTTTAAGGGGTACAGTAGTGGTTAAAACAAACAGGCTACAGTTAATATACAATATATAATAGAATACAGTTAGAGTGTCTAGATTACATGTACTGTAGTTACTATATGCAGTAGTCAATTAACAATTAATTTCTTCAAGCCCTCATGATCTGATCCATCGTGATCTGGAGATGACCTGTTAACTAAGTTTGGGAATTGACATGAAAAGCAAGGGATGACAGGACACTGTCAGGAGGACACAATAAAAAACTAGTGAATCAGATAGAGGAGAGGAGATAGAACTGGAGCCGGCAAAGAGGGGAGATGGGAGAGGGCTGACTGAATGGGTGACAGACTGACTAAATGACCGACAGACTCTTTGACAATGCTCTTATCTAATACTTTTATTTCTCTGCAGAGACGTTGATTCTGTTCTGTACCTTTCAGACTGTTGAATTGCCTTTCAAATTATTGAATTGCTCAGAATTACTGTAATAATAAATGATCATTGGCATTTTAGTGATTTGTCTGTGTTTTTAGCTCACATCAGACATCTGCCACCACAGTACTTCTTTAGCCAGAAACATGCTATACTATGGGCTCCCCTGTGTCTCCACAGCGAGATATCAAAAGCTACGAGTGACAATATAATGCTGTAGTTATAGTTACCAGTGTCCAAAAACATCCAGTTCATGTTAGCTGGTGACTCTAAATTGCTTGCAGGGCATGCCCTTCTTCTTGCCTGATGTTAGTGATGTCCAGCCTCCTCACATGACCCTCAGCAATCAGCGGGCAAAACAAATAGATGGATGGATGTTCTGTATCTCAGTAACTGTGCACTACCTACTACCTATTCCCCAGTGCACAATTCACCCACAAATCTGTGTGACTAAAGCCAAATCACAGCCAAGCTCATTACCTAACTGGACATTATCAGTGTGTCTCATTCTGTGGTGATTACGTTTGTCACCAGACAGTTCCAGATGGACAGCAGTTTCATTTCCCACCTGACAAGACGCTGGACTCCTGACAGCAGATGCTTCAGCCAACAATTTGTGTTTTATATCTCCTGCTCTTGTTCCTGGAAATGGGGTGGTCTGATTTACAAGCACCACACCTGGTTTGCATCAGCTTCATGTCCAAAAACAAACAATCAAAGTCTGTGTGCTTGTTTTACCAATATTGGATGACGCTATTGAAATTAACTCAGGTGGGTCAGGACACCCCATGATTACACTGCCTCTGTATCTCAACTGTGAATTGGTTACCATGGTGATAGCCTACCTCAAAGCTCCTCATCAGATCATTATTTTCTCTCTGGACTCAACAGTGCAAACCACAATCCAGCCCACTCCTCTGTGCAGCCAAACTGGCCTAATCAAACACTTGGCTGTGGATTTGGTCTCCGCGGACTCTGGCTCACCACAGACAAAATCCCAGTTATTGTCTGGGCTCTGTGTGTTCATACTGGAATTAGCTGTGCTCTTAATTATAAAGATTTCTGGGAACAACCAACACCTGTTAAGCTTCCATTTATTAATTACGACTATTTTTGTTGTTGTTGTTATTTGTTTGTTTTTGTTTTGCTGCTACCAGGGGACATTAGAGAATTATTAATTAACTGACCAATCACAACCTACTGTGATCAGCGGTGATTATATTTGTCTTTATCAAATCTTTGTTGCCCAACAGCACAGACGCTGTACAGGCACACAGACAGCATATTAACCAGAGCACAGCCACGAATGTCGCTTCATAGGTTGGGAGCTATTGCAAAATGGTTGACAAGTTATTGGTAATAATACAAATAAATTGTAGTTTTGCTATGATTTTGGTATAAAAATGATCATTCACCTTTATATCTTATCAATATCACTGATGTTTCATGGTATGTGGTTTGTCATCAGAGTTTATTATTATTATTATTATCATTTTTAATCACTGACATCTGAGACTGCTGCTCCTGCTACTCTGCACCAATAGATTGTGTACACACAGACTACGTAACACACAGAAACACACACAAGCACAATGTCTGCGCTTCTGAAGAACACAAGCACAGAGCGAGCCGGACTAAATCAACAACAACATTCACACTCCTCGGGTTTTGAAATGACATGACAGAAGAGTAATTGAATTTCTGGCACTTCCACCAAAATATACATAGCCCACAGTCACTGAGATACAGAACCACCACCCAGCTACTAGTCTTCGGGGAGGCTGGTTCCCATCCCAGCCGGCATCATGTGAGAGGTAGGGTACACCCTCAACAGGTCACCAGTCTATCACAGGGCTGAATATAGAACATTAGTCCTGCAGCGGCATTACCAACACTCCCACACATTCTGAACAGGAAGAATTTACCTCAAAGAAAGGCAAAGCTGACACATGAAAAGGTGAAAAAGACAGAAAAATAAATAAATGGAAGTGCAACCTGTTGTCAAATTATACGGTTAGTAGCAGCCATTTGTTATGAACATAGGTATTTTGTTAATGTTAGTGTGTGGGACAGTGTAGGACAACTGAGAACAGCACATGAACGGACAACAAAGAAGTTGCTTCCTTGGAAGAACACAGCAAAACAGGTTCAGCTGGAGGACAAAGAAGTGTAGAGTAGTTCTGGTGAAACTAGGAGAGAGGTACTTTGTTTTCTGCACAACCTGAGGTCTGGACCAAAGTGACCGAAGGCTCCTAAACGGAGCTTCAGAAAAGCAACTCGGATATGAGCAAAAAATGAAAGTGGATCATTAATGAAATCGTCATATGGAACCATTTTAGATGGTTACTGCAAACAGTGTAACCTGCTGTTTAGTGCGGAGGTCTTGTTTAGTCCTTCAGTCTGCAGAACTGAAGGACTAAGCGTTTTTCAACTTGCTTTTCTCAAACACTAACCTTTGCTCCAAGGTTTGTTTAGAAGGATAATAATATCAAATATTTCTCATTTCTTTGTGGTCATAAAATAGGACATATTCCATTTTTGGAAAATACATTAAGAAAGAATTCACCTCCATTCTCTGTGGCCATGATAGAAACAACTGAATTATTGTAAAGGTTCATCCCCTAAGACATTACTCACAGGTTGTGTTGGTTCCTTTCCACTGCTTTCTCTCTCTGGTCTCCATATTAATTCTTTTCAGACATTCTCAGTTATCGGGGAGTCCTCATGAAAACTCTGTAGCTTACTGCATCTTTAACTTAATGTTAGTGCACTGCAAGAGGCTGTGGGGGTGGGGGTGGGGGGTTGACAGGGTTTGGCGTGAAGGAAAAAGTGTGTCGCTTTTTAATTAAGTGGCAGAATTGACTGTGAGATAATGACATTTGCTTTGTGCAAATTTTGGTTTGCAATCAGCCTCATTACAGGAACACTTGAGAAAAGGAGAGAGCCTTCATCTGTCTACGGTAATATCAGTAAAGTGAGTAGATGGTGGGCGGGTAATGAGTGGAGAGGTGACAGAGCCATGTACAGTACACACACACACACACACATACACATTAGTAAAAGAGCATGTTATGGCCTATCTTTATAAACATGCTAGTTGGACCAACAGGTTCATTACATTATGTTACACACACTCAGAGAGTAAATCATCAAACACGCAGGTTGGCAAGTAGAAAAACATTGAAGCCGACAGATCAATATGGGAAAGATCCTCAACCACCATAATGTGTCACCCTCGGTTTCCGGCACACACACACACACACACACACACACACGCACAATGGGCGGTGACTCACAGTGTGAAGTTCTCCTGCAGGTAGCAGCGATTTCTCAGAAGCCCCGCCCACAGCTGCACCCCGATGATGCCAAAGATGAAGAAGACGAAGAAGCAGAGGAGGAGGACATTACCCAGCATGGGCAGAGTGTCCAGCAGCAAGTTCACCAGGATACGCATGCCTGAAGAGAGAGAGACACACACACACACACACATTAATAGTCTGACACATCCCTCATAGCCCCAACCCTCAGCAGGACATACGTCACAGCATCACTTCTTAATGTAAACTAAACATGTCCAATCTCAGCAATGAATCAGGAGGTGGACTGACTATCTGAAGTTGTGTTGGTCCTCGTGCTGAGTCAGAGACGAGTCCCAGCAAAACTCACACACAGATTTCTGTGTGTCAAGAATCACTAACAAATTTATACAGTATTTTGGTGCCTTATGTTATTATTCAAGAATCAAACAGAGTTTAGAAGTGAAGTGTGGTGTCTGACACAAACACAGATGCATCACTATAATTTGTGCACAGGTATACAAATACTTTACAAATTGCCACCTTCCCACAGTAACTACATCATTTTTTCTCTCTATAACACAAACTCATTCTCTCTCAGCCATCTGCTCTATTGCACATTACTCTGCCATTCCATATAAGATGTCTTTTAATCATAATTAGCAGATCACTCCCTAATCGCCACACCACTGTGATCCTGCGGCCCAGTGCTTTGGTTTGATCTCTATAAAGAAGGCTGCACCAGGGGCTAAGTGTAAAACAGATCGAGGATTGACGCTGCATTTAGCTGACTAATCAGGGGTAAGTGGGCAGGTGGGCGCCCAGGGCTCTGCCAAGCAGCGTAAATGACTTACAACGAGTCAATCTTAAAGAAGACAGAAACTGTGAAGCCTTGAAGAGTCTTTTAAGGACACCTGGATACTCAACCGACATTTCTATAAGAAAGTCGAGCTGTATATTTTATGTTATGTACTCTCTCTCTCGACAATAAAGAATCCATAGATTAGCCACTGATGATGCTTTCTGGTTTTACATCTCCTTGTGAAATGTGTCCTTTGACCCCACAGGACGTGACCAATCACAGCTGGAAAAAAACACATTTCTCAAGAAAATTTAAATTTCAGTTTTGTTGGGAAAAGGTCTCTGTCCTCTCATCCTCTTGGTTTAAACACAACGCATGACCTTTGGTGAGTGTATGCTGGGCCAAGTTTGCTTTTTTGCTGTTAATATTTAATGACTTGTGGGTATTGACTTCAGTTGGTGCTGATTTGCAGAGAAAATATTAAATATTCTGATCAGTTTCTACTAATAGTGCATTTCAACAGTATTGTACGTGTGGTTATTAGGCCTTAACTGTACATAAAATGTCATTTTAGACAAATAAGTTCCTGAATCAAACTAAAGATCACTGAGCTGGCACTGAAGCTCAATCCTAGTATCATACATAACACACTTTCCTTTGATGAAGCTGAAACAGACATCTTATTTTGATCATAATTTGAAATCAGCAGCAGCTTATTAACATTCTAGACACCCTGATGTGAAATTATTTACACAGCAATAACAGTGAACTTTACGTTACCAAACACAACCACAAACTAGTCACAAAAAAGAAGCAAGCAATAAAAATACATGATTAAAAAAAAAAAAGAAGACTCAAAATGGTTCCCTCCACTTCATCAGCACAGGTATTTGATCATGAGGTTTAAGCAAGTGTTGAACAACAAATGTTTGTTTTATATAAAAGGCAACTTAAATCATATTAATCATCTCCAGCAGACCGTGGGAGCAGCTGCAGAGGGAGTGAGGGAAAGGGAAATGAGCAAAGTGCAAACTAGATTAGAAGCAAGAAAAAACAGAATATAAATGAAAGGAGAGGCAGCAGAGGGAATGCATTGATGACTGTTACCTTGGCTGCTAATTCGGCCAGTTCCCGAGGGGGTTTGTGGGTAATGTAGTAAACACGCACAGGCCTTTTTAGCTTTGGCCAGTGGGAACGACTCCTTGATAATTTCCATTAGTGTCTTATTAACTGACCCTTGTGTTTACTTTAAACACCATCCATGAGTGTGTGCACACATGTGTGTGTGCATGCAAGTGTTTGCAGCTTTGCATTGCTTGTGTTTGTGTCCTTGCCTGTATTGTATGCGCAGGGAGGGTGCATTAGCTGGTGTGTTTGTGTATCTGCAAGAGTGAAGCACTCTGTGACTCTGCATTTGTGTCTCTCCTGCAGGATGGAGATTGAATTACCCCTGAGATGAGCTCTGTGGTAAATTGTCTTTAATAAAGGAGGGAATTGCTTCTTTATTCATCCAACATATAAAGACAAGTGAACTGACTTTAGGCAGCCTGTGCTGGTGCAAGGCACAGTTGTGTCTGTTATAAAGTGACCTTTTGATCCTGTGGCCCCAGGGGCTGGTGGTTTGCAAAGAAACTGGACACTTACATTTAATTGCCCTGTCAGAGAGTCATTTAATACTAGTTC